CCGAAGGGTTGAAATTTCGGAAGATTGACGTTTCAAATGGTTAGAATTTCAAGGGGTTGAAGTTTCAAATGATTGAAATTTTAAACAGTTGAGATTTCGAATGGTCAACATTACAGAGGGTTGAAATTACAAATTATTGAAATTTTAAACAATTGAGATTTCGAATGGTTAACATTACAAAGGGTTGAAATTACAAATTATTGAAATTTCCAATAATTGAACTAGCTAATGCTACAAACTTCGAACCATGCTAACAACTAATTTCCTTAATCTATTAAACATTTCAAATACCCACTAAAAAGTATAAAACTCCTCTCCGCTCTCTCAAGTCATTCAAAATCAAATCTTTCATTCCCAGCGTTCAATTCAAAATACGAAAGGCCCACTCTCGACACAGCTACCTAAAACATTCACCCCCAAAGTACCAATACCCACATCCAACACCAATATACAACGTCACCCACTCAAATCCCAAAAATTTCGTATATGACGACAGAACTTATATGTACATCCATTCGAAGTGTCGGAGATTGAAGAGTCCGTCGCCCGGCTCGTTCGATTTTTCGAGAGGAAACCGATGCCTTCCTCCTCCTGATTTGCCCCGGTGTAATTGGGGCGGGCGAAGTTTCCCACGGGCAAGGCGGGCGTCTATTTAAAAAGCAATCGCCTTTGAACGTCGGAGGAGTTAATCGCGGCCGCGGTACTAGCCGATGTAAACTACCTTTCGATGATACTTCTAGGTCCATCGACGTTGAACCAATTCCCTGAAGCGATGCACACGCATCCCCTGCGAGGCCACCCGATTCCCCATAATTTCCCATGCGCTCTCTGTTCGTGCGCATCGCTCGGAGGGTACACCGACAGCCTCTGCTAACCTCCCTCCCCATTCGCCAGTGTTTCTAGAAATGTTCCGAGATTGAACGTGAATCACTGTTTTCTCGAGGGTACTTATTAAAGTTCCGTGTCTCTCCCTCTTGTACACCGCTGGTGCTAGAAATCCTGATGGATCGCTCGCTGATCGCGATCATGGAGAAGAGCCGCCACTATTCCATGCAATGCTTGTCAATCCACGGGTGCACTTACGAATGTTAATGCAGGACTGAATTTTTAACAGCTATTGAGTTGATACATTGAAACGTTCTGCTATAGGTGTTCGGTTAGGCTATGAGTAACTTTTATATCTTTAGAGGACCTTGGAACAGTGCGAATGAAAGACGTTTTGTTATTTTGACCGGTGGTCTTCTTAGTTTTTTTAGTTACTTCTTACTAGTTTCAGTGATTTGTTGAACAAAACCAAGCATTGAATATTATTTTTTATCTTTCTTTTTACTGTAATTCAATTAAAGTCCTAAGGATTTTCTAAAGCTCACGTTTAGATAGTTTTGAGGAAAATCAAAGCAAATCCTCAGATTTTCCGATAATCGAGATTATAACAATTTTATTTTAGAATTTTACTTTAGCTCAATTAATGTCCTAAGGATTTTCTAAAGCTCACGTTTAGATAGTTTTGAGGAAAATCAAAGCAAATCCTCAGATTTTCCGATAATCGAGATTATAACAATTTTATTTTAGAATTTTACTTTAGCTCAATTAATGTCCTAAGGATTTTCTAAATCACTTGCGACACGTTTAGCTAGTTTTGAGAGAAATTAAAGCAAATCCTCAAATTTTCCAATAATCGAAATTATAAAAATATTATTTTATTTTCCATTTTATTATACTTGTCTTACTCGTAATTACACGTATACTTTTGTAGGCGCATTTACGTGTGGAGGGCAGTGAACTCGGAAGATCAGTGGCTTTCGAGTCCTGCCCTAAAAACAATCAAAACAAAATAGACAGCAAAAACAACGTAGACTCGCGACGAAAAGTTCAGAAGGTTACCCTATCCAAACACCCAAGCGTTTGGAAGTCAGTTGCCTTCCAAACGCCATGCAAAAACGCAAATAATTGTGAATAGTCGAAGCAAGAGCAACGACCTTGCAAGGCCACGGCCGAAACCTAGGCCAATATGATTGTCTGTGCTTCTATTATGTTGTAGAGACGTATATGTGAGACAAAGATTGTAAAATTCGAATATTCTTAACACTAGAACTACCAGACGGGTCAAAATGACCCATTCCTGATTTCTTCTTTTTGCAATCATTAAAATGACAACACATGTGCCTTTGGGAAGTTATTAAAGAAAATGTTTTAGCAATATGTAAATTGAATTGTAAATCAATTAAAGTCACAATAGATGAATTCTTGGAGTTTCTATAGAGAAATTTCAAGAAGTCAATTTAACTGCTTGCTAGTTTTAGTGTTAACCTCTCCAGACCTGATTTTCGTAGAACTATCAAAGGACTGCCATTCAATATGCTACCAGTAATGGCATGCATTTCGAATAAAATATAGCAGTATAATATTTTTCTGATAGAAATAGGTCCAAAGAAAAGATATATGTACTATAATTAAAATGATTTGTTTTAGTTTAAATAAAATTAACCCTTTTGGGTTCATGTGAAGAGTATACTCTTCATGTGCCAATCCTTTGTGCCAAAATGGACACTTCTTATAATTTGGTAAAATGCTATATTACAGTATATATTATACTTTGTAGAATTAAATATTACATTACAATAAAAAATGTAATCAGATCCAGGGGGAAATTAGCTCACATTAATTAAGTACGAAATATATATATATGAGTCGCTCAGAAGTCAATGCGGTCCATTTTTTGATATTTTCTGATCCTTATAAATTTCAATGGAACAACTAATATTCTTTTTAGTTATACAAGGATTTTGTTTCTTCATTTTTCGTAGGTCAGGAAGTCCTTTTTATAGTTTCTGAATATGTCGTATAATCACTCCAGAAGCAAAAACATTAATTTTCCCAATCTTTACATCTCTATATGAAATTATTACCTTCTCCGATTACTGCCTATTCACCGATTCTCCACTAATTGCCATTCCAAGAAGCAACGAACACAAGGATAATCACGTGCCATCGTTCCAGCTCGCCGTCCAAAACAAAAGCGCACGGTTATCGGTCGAAGGAACGGAAATTATATCTTCGAATGTGATACTCGACGTTTCCTGGATCCGGATAATATCAACAGACACGATCCGGCGATCGCTGAAAAATCGAAAGGCAAACATTGTTAATGGACGGTTGCGTAATATATATATATCGCACCCGGGGCAAACAAAATTTCACCGTTTATTGGATTTTTCTAAATCCAGATTCGCGGACTGTTCCTGTTCGATCCTGTTTGCCATCTGTCCCCGACCAACCCCCCACGCCTCAGCAACCCCAGTATCCAGCTTCGTTGCAAATCTTTGCTTCAGCGTGCACGTGATATAAAAACATCTTATTTTTCCTGCAAAATGTGTAAACACACGTACATTCGTTGTACGTTGAACGAACGTATGAATGTACAGTACACGCGGGCACACGGCCACGCACACACGCGGAGAGACGTTGGCAGGGCGAACGTTGCGCGCTAAAACAAGACAGGGCAAATACACCGTCGCCGATATTATCGGACGTCCACCGATCCGATCGCGAGACGATAATGTTACGCTGCCGATGAAAAACAGGCTTCAGCAAACAATGAATTTTTGCGTCTGCCTCCGGCGGACAGTTTCTTGCCCTTTCCTTGAAAAACGTCCGATCGTGGAAGTCGATTTTTCCATTTGACAAGACGAGTTTACTGAATCGACGCGGAAAGTTGATATTAACTCGACATGCGGATCAAATAGAATGCGCCCTAAAAGTACTGTTTAGCCTGGCTTAACACTAGAACTACGGAACAATTAAAGTTACTTCCAGTGTTCAATAGAAATTACAACAATACGTTTCTTGAGATTCGGAGGGTCGTAGCCTTGTATCTGTACAAATACACAAATTTTATTGAAAACCTTTCGCAAACGTCTTTATAATTTGCATACTTGTAAAATAAAGATCCCGAAGTGGGTCAATTTGGGAGGTTCGGAAGTTTTGTGTTAATTAGTGATTTGGAGATCGATTCTTTGTTTTAGAGGTCTGATTATTGTTTTAAAGGATAGTAGTTGTGAGAGTTTAGGAACTGAAGATCATATCAATCCTTAGTTTTAAGTAATATTAGCTTTTCTAGTTATAAAGAAGTAGTATTACTATCTAATGAACTTCTCAATAAATCTAAAGTCAATAATTTACATCGATCATTTCAATATTCAATAGGTACCTCACAGTTAGAAAATCGAAGGCTACATATAAGGTCATATCCACATCGAACCTTCACTCCCTAGATTCTCCATAAAAAACGGCGGCCGCCAATCTTTATGTTATCAACCAAATTATTCGCATTCCTTCAAGCCTTCCTATTCCAATATTACCCCATAACTCATATTCAACAAAAAGTAAAAACCCAAAATAGATTTCCTTAAATTTTCACACCAAATTACAAGAGAACAGGAAAGTTACATCTAACTCCAAACTCAATACTTAACTCCTTGCCGTAGAATAATAAATGAAACTCAAAGCGAAGATTTTTCATTTTCACCAAAAATCAATGTCATTCATACTATATAAGTCAAAGTTAAAACTGCTTTTCTATCAACATTTCATCTCCGAAGTAAGGTACTTTCAATAAACAGAAAACGTGTTCGCCGTCTCTCAGATTATTGCTAATGAAACGAACGCAACAAGCGTAGTCGCGAGAGAAACTCGTGCAGCGAGGGATTGAACCAAGCCGTGTTCATTGAAAATTGCGTCGCGAGTCTGAACGAACCGCGCGGGTATCGAGACAACGTAATTAATAACTCGATCAAACGACGCAGAAAGTGGTAGCCAACAAGAGTTGGCTAAAAGGAGTAAGGGAATCAAGAAGAACGAGCAAGCGAGAGACTTATTCGTTGACCAGGCGGAAGTTCGTTAATAATTCGACCCCCGCGCGGCAGCTTTCCTCGCGGCGAAGTCTTTTTGAAGCGGGGCCCAGTCTCGTCGAAGCTACGGCTGGTCTTGTGCGAAGAGGCACGGAGGGGCGGAGAGGGTCGGTCGCGGGAGGGTGGTTGCAGCGCATGCCACGGGGGTTGAAGTCTGTTTGCTCATGAAATATGCAGGCATGCGCCCTCCATAACTGCTCGAAAGCAGTGAAACTTGCGTGCAGCCCGGCCGGGCCACGGGATTTTCTGCCCTCCGTCCTCCGCGCACCCCCGTTCGTAAGGTTTACAAAAGCGGCGCGTTTAGGTGGATGAAACACGCGCGACCCCTTATCGACGGGGATCGACTTATAGGCCGGGACGGAGGACGTCTTAACCCTTTGGACTACAAAGGTTTTTTTTCACTAGAAATGCTTGACATTTTGTGACGGGAGGTTTCGACGAATGAGTGGGTTTATTGGATAGTGAATGTTTATGATTTATTATCTGGTAGAAAGTAGAATGAAGTAATATACTCTGGGTAGAATATAGGATAGTATTTGTACACATACACATATGTTTTGAGATGGGGGATGTCTTATGCTTTGAGACTACAAAGGTTTTTCCATTAAGAATATGCTCGACATTTTGAGCCAAACGTCCGGATTTATTAGGTAGTAAATATTTATGTTTTAGTAAAAAGGTGAATGAAGCGAAATGCAAAGTACAGACTATAAAATACAAGTAGTACTTAACTTAGTGGAATGGACTCTCGAATGCCAAGGTATTGGAAACACTACGGAACAAGGTTTTACACGGTTGACTGTCACAGTTTCAATATTTTGTCCGACATTTAAATATTAAAACAGTATACATTACAATGTGCACCGACTCTGAAGGGGTTAATTATGAAAGAAGCAGTCGCGACGGGCGTGTTAATAAAATTCCAGTGTCGCTCCCCGCCGGGGGGGTAGTGATGTCCACAGAAAGGCGTTTAGTTTTATCATCTGGCCCCTACGGCGCTAAGAAAATCTATTTATTCTGACAGGAGGACGAGTGCGCCGGTAAGAAACGGGTGACGTCCAAGGGGTGTGTCCTCCTTTTCGTAGCTTCAATGTCCTGCGGAGGTGGTTAAGTGCGAGGTGAGTAGCAGAGGGTAGGTCACTAGCGCGAAACTGACTTTTTCAGTCCCAGTGTCAACCCTCCCGGTTGTTTCACCTTGCCACGCTCGTTGTACACACTGTCGATCGGTTAACACGCTCTTCTCCTTCTAGAGACACCTGACTCCGAGTATCCTGCAGCTTTTTTTCTCTTCCAGTAAGATAAACACGTAGAACCTTCTCACTTTCAGAGGAACATTCACGGAATTTTTCGTATACACAACGCATATCCCGATTAACTGCGATACTTCTTATCGAAAATTGATGTTCAACTGTTTTAACATATTTTGCAAAGGTCCCTTACAATTTCGCTTATCTTCGAAACCACGGAAGTTAACATCCAAATTGCGATACTGGCAAACTACAGAGGTAATAAGTACTTTCAACGATTCAGTAATTGTAATACAGTACAGTCCCATTATAATCGCTAACATTAACAACCAATAATGATTAATATTATTAGTAACATTATAATATTATTATTTCCTTCATTCAAAAAACGATTTCATGAAACCTCTTCCTCTCGAAGATTCAGGAATAGTCAAACTTCTATTCCAAGCCACTCGTGTCGCTAAAACAATTAATTCTATAATTTCTCACAAAAGAACATGTATCTTCTGAATGCTTCTAAAAAAAGTAAAGTGAATCATTGACATGTCAGGTAGTTCCAGTGCGAAAGTGATGGGCCGTCTATATTTAGGGGGCGTGGACGAATTAAGGCAAGCAGGGCCGGAAGTGCATAGGGTAAGTATTACAGAAGGCAACCTGTCCGTGATATAATAGCGTGCACAGCATTGTACAATATAAAACGGGTTTTTATACGCGATGCGTATCGCAGGCTTGATTTCGACGCTGGGTTAATTGCGATAACCCGTGCTCAGTCGGCGGGGGTTAGCGACATATGCTCGCCGCGGGGTTAAATAATCCGTCGGGCTGGATATACGCGTCGAGGTGACGAGCTATCCGTGCGACTCGTCGGCTCGTAAAAGCGCTTGACACGCTACGCCTACGCGTAACACCGACACGGCACGCCTGGCCATATGTTCCTTTTGGTCAGTGCTCGCGATTCGCGACCTGCGCACCCCTCCAACGACAAAACAATAATCAAGCTTCCGGTTCAGCCGGTCTTCGACTTTAGACTCGATGAAACGAGTCTAGAATTTCTTGTAGAAGTTTCTGTGTGGAGCTTTTGGCAAAACGAACATTTTTCAAAGTCATGCGAAGGGTCGTCAGGGGTTGAGTGGAAACTGGGTATAAGCGGTATGGGATGTTTTGTAAGGTTATATGTAGAGTTTTGTGCAAAATGAAGATTGTCCAGAGTGATGCAATAAAGGAAGGTTAAGTAGAAACTATCTTCTCTTAGTGATTCTAGTGTTTCTTCTTCATATTGTAGAAAACGAGAAGTCGAAGGTAACAAAATTAAAATCACCCGATAAGTTGAATAATTCGAGAAAATCGTAACTGGCAAAAACATCGTAAAAAAGAACAGAAAATAAAAATATTCTCCCGGAAAACCTCACTTTCACATACTTCCCTCAGCAGAAACCAACTGCAAATGTCCCAAGATCCACCACAAAAACTCGACCTAACAACTTTCAACACCCTCGCCAAAAAAAGAAAGGACCCAGAGAACACAACAATTGTCTTTCCAACCACG